AAACTGCCATTAAATGAAACAGAAGAATAAGAAAACATCTGCACGTGCGTGGTACGGATCCTGTAGACCCGATTTATAACTATCTTTGTTTTTGTCTACATTATATAGAAAGGTTTTATTATTGCAAACATTTTAAGAGATACCTATTATTGTTAACACTTTAATACAGGGGTAGGGGACGTTAGTCCTTAAGAGCCGGTGTCGTGCAGGTTTTCGATCTCACCCTGGGTCACCACACCTGAATCAAATGATTAGTCCATTACCAGCCTCTGGAGGACTTCAAGACATGTTGAGGAGGTAATTTAGCCATTTAAATCAGCTGTGTTGGATCAAGGACACATCTAAAACCTGCAGGACACCGGCTCTCGAGGCCTGGAGTTCCCTACCCCTGCCTTAACAGATACTCTGACCTGTAACTATTGTAAAATGCTTCGAGCGGAAGTACACACCTTTCGAAAATGCATGGTACGGATTGGGTTTCCGGTACAGATCGAGTAGTGACAGCTCTCTTGGTGGTCCACTTTCTCAGGATATTTTAATAGTTTATGGAGACTTCTTTTGGTTCTGTTTCTGTTTTGGGGGGTCTTTTGTGCCTATTGCTGGGTTTTGTGTCTAGTGTGTTGTGGAGATGATTTTGAATGGCTGCTTCCAAAGAACACCTGATGGTCTCTACAGCCCAACCATATATCCAGTATACAGACCTGCTGAACCCTGTTAAGAGGCTCATCTAAACTAGAAAACCTCAAAGTATCCTTTAACATCAGGACAAACCAGTTGATGAACTCTCATCTACATTACAGCTGTACTGCGACACTCCCCATTTGAACAGTGTGAACCAGGGAGTGTCAGGGTGGAGGATCTGGCTTTAGTGAAAACAAAGGTTAAAAATTAAACCTGAGAACTCGGTTCCCATCATGTTACCACTGACAAAGTTAGCATACTGTGAGCATTTTGACTTCCTTAGCTCACTGATGTTATCTTTTCACTAGTTTGAATGTGAATTTGAATGAATGTGGTGAAAGGGCAGAAAATAAACCTCATATTTCCTGTGTTTACAGTGCAGGGGGCAGCCTGTGGCTGAAATCAGAGCTGTCATTTACATGAAGCTGTGCACACACGCAGACACGTGAACCAATAGTATCAGCTCACTTAGCGCTGAGACATAAATCCAATAATGAGCAGGCTGCCTCCACAGCTCTACACATAAATGAGGAAATACATCCAGAGCTCAGTGAGCGAGGCGCTCACTGAGCTCTGGATGTATTTCCTCAACACAGAAAAACAGAGAGAAATAACTCAACACCTGTGATTCGGATGTGAATAAAAGCTCCAAAAATCCCATATTATGACAGATCTATGGTCCCATAGATTGTCCAAGGATGGTGATCAAGATAAAATGAAAAGTTACTGTGCTGCATTATATATTTATTAACGAATTGCCCTTTTGTGTACACCCCTGTCCTCTACTTTTACCACTTAATCAAAGTCCAAATTCACTCCCCACAGCCTGTGGCACATTTAGTTCAGTTCAAAGTAAACTGTTTTTTCCCCTGTGAGTAATCATTGTAAATAAAACGGATCTGGAATAGGTGTGATGATGGGTTTTGCTGTAACTCAGCTGCCCTACATGCGTGCAGCACTGTATGTTTGGAGAATTGTATTGATTAGGATCTATTTACGGTCAGTTGGGAGTTCATTTTGCATCCATGGATACAGTCTGTTGTGACTATAGAAGCACAAACATAGGGGAAAAAATGAAAGTATCACTGAAATACTGCAGGAGGCTTTGTAAGGTCGATTTCAACAGAAATATAGACAGGCATGGTGAAAAGATGAGAAAACGTGACAGAAATCGATAAGGACTACGAGTTTATGTTGCATTACATGGAAATGGTACTACTATACAGTGATATAACACACTATATGTGCACATATCTAGCTACCAACACATATACCACATAAGGCTTTCTCCTCTAGCAGCACAGTAGCTGTAGGTTATTTTTCTTTTGTGTTTTAACGCACATCAACATTCAGAGCTAAAGAAAGGGTTAACCCTAACCCCTACCCCTGCTGAAAACTGCAGTTCCTCTAACGCCAGCTAGAGGCTGGCTCAGAAAAGTGAGACTCTAATGTTAAAACATACAGTGGAAATTGAAAGAAAAAGCTGTGCAGCTAAATTTGACCTTTATAACAAATGTAAAGGGTTATAAATGTTCATATAACTCACCTATTCAAACTATATTAATGCTAGGGGGCACGGACGCTGTTTTTAATGACAGCTGCTTGCTAGGTTTCACTCGAGCTAACTGGAGAGGCTGAACCTTGTGCTGCTTGTGCCTTTGAAGCATTTTTATTACCAACACGTCCCTTTTAGGTCCCCGCAAAAATCCAGCATGGTCATGGCCAAAACACCAATTTTGAAGCCAAAGCCATAGCTGTGGCCATCTTTTAATACAGTCTATGCTTTCCAGCCAAACAAAGGTGTGTGTTTTTAACACCTAACCAGACAGTTTCTGATATCATATTTACAGTTTAGGTGTAAAATCTGTCTGATGTGACAGAGAGACTAAAACACCCTCAACAGCCTGGTGGATGTAGCCCACGTGATGTAGGTATATGAGATCAAAGTGGGAACATCATCACAAATAACTGGTTACATCACGCACTGTGAACATGTCAGTGGAAATGCGTGAGTTAAATGCGATCTCCGGCTCCCACCTCCTCCTCTGCGGCCGCTCCGTTGCCTACGTGGGCCATGTCCGCTCCCGGTGCCTGTTCTCCCTCTGGTCCGCGGGTCGCCTGGTTCCGCTACGAGGACGGGCAGAGTCCCATGACAGCTGCAGCCGAAACTCCGCTCCTCTGCGGCTGCGCACGGATCTCCTTCTGCGCTCCGTTTATTTTGATTCTTATCGCCGTAGGTCCGCTTCGTCCTTGAGTCAGGCGCGCTTCTTTGCCTCTGCTGTCTTCCGTGAAAGAAACACGGAGACGGAGAGAAAACACACCTCCCACATTTCCGTTTCTCCGCCCATAGAAAATAGAAGAGAGGGAGGAAATGAAGGAGGAGAGGAGAGAGGGAGGAAACGGAGGAGGCCAGTGTTTGTGTAAGCAGATCAGGCAGAGGCGCAGATTACATGCGAGCACGGGGCGGGGGCACATTAAGTGTGTATGGGGGGGCTCGTGTTTATTAATGGGACAAAAAAAACACTAAAACCAGACAGCAGGCAGAAGTTCAACATACTGTTTTGATTCAAAGCAAATCCCTTTTCTTCTATGCGTCATATATAAATTATATTTTAATTATAAATTTAAAATGGTTACTTTATTAGGCACAGGCTCCTCTGCATGTTAATGCAAATATCTAATCAGCCAATTGTATTGTAGCGTCTACATGCTCTACATGGTTAAGGTCAGACTGGGGTTCAAGCTGTTGCTGGTGTGTTTAAACAGCCTGCCCAATTATTGTCCAGGCCTTTATGATGGCAACATGACACACTGGCTGTATCCCAATTCAGGGTCTGCAGCCTCAACGATCCTCAAGGGCCTACTTAAAGACCGCTAAGGCTGGAAGTGCGAGGCTTGTGAAATGTGACGGTCTAGCCTCCGTTGCGCTGCCCAGGTTGCCTAGCAACCATGATACTAACAGCTGGAAACGTTTCATACAGCTTTGTTTGACAGAAATGAAGGAGAAAATCTTTTGTTCATTTGTTTGTTTGTTTCTACATGAGCTTTGATCATTCTCTGTAAGATTAAGCTCAGCTATTGAACAGCGTATATTTTGAAGTAAAGGCTTTAAAACCAAGTTAGTGCAAACGTCACTAATGTCACATAACTTTGCCGACATGTGGCCAACAGTAATGTTTTATTGTTCTTCGTTATTAAACATTTGCACATAAATAAGTGAGATAATATTCAGTACTTACTTAAAGTTTACTCTTAGGGCGCCCCTCATTCGCCGTTTTTTGCGGCAAAATTATCCACACCCACCGCCGCGCTATGCATTCTGGGATATGTTGGGCCACGAAGTCTACACCGCCACGTCCTTAAAATTCAGGGAAATGAAGGACGCATTTGAGGGCCGCATTTCGAGCAGCCTTCGAATTGGGACAGCCTTCGTCGCGTCGCGGTGATGTAATCGGCCTTAAAATGTGGCCTTTAAGGCTGCAGACCCTGAATTGGGATACAGCCACTGCCTACATGACGATGAGTTCACTGTCCTCAAATGGACTCCACAATCACCAGATCTCACTGCAGCAGAGCACCTTAGGGATGTGGAGGAACAGGAGATTCACACCATGGATACGCAGCCTGTCACTACCAAGGTGTACCTAATAAAGTGGTCGTTGAGTGTATGTATGTAAAATAATAATAATCAGACTTGAGACTCTTTGTTAAGTTTGTAAAATTTTATTTGTGAAATAAAAAAATACATATTTACATGAAGACCAAGATAACAGGAATAAAACTGCTAAAAGGAATAAAAACAACGTCATTGAATCACAAAAAAAAACAAAAAAATGAAAACGGTCTGTAGGCCTCGTGCCTCTCAAGGTTTAATGCTTCAGTTTAAAAAAAAGAAAGAAAAAAAAATGAGCCCCAGTGACAGCGATGACAAAAATTAAACTTCTTAAGAGATGACAGAGCCAGAACTGTGTCAGGTGCAGCAAAATCTCGCCTCAAAATGTCACAGAAACAGGACGTCAGCTTAAACAGCAGGTACACATTAATGCTTAGGTGTGTAATGCTCTCGTCTTCAGTTTAACGCTCATTTCAAAAAAGATAAACATCCATTTAAAATAAAATCAGCTGCTCCAAAGCGCTTAATAACTTAATAAGGTGGCCTTAGCACAGCAAGCTGGGGGGTAAGAACAGCACACCTGCTAAGGTGTGACAGTCAACACTGCGAGAACTTAAACAGGTAAGCACGCTACTGCCCAATGAGGTAAGTGGTTTTGGAAAATCCTATTGTGTGTCTGTGTTGTTCCCCCCAGTAGCAGTTGGTCCGGTCCAGGCTGCTTCCAGTGATGATGAGCCGTCAGGAGGAGTCCACTGGAGCTTTTGGGGAGGGGGACAAAATTATTACATGAATCAAAAAAAAAAAAGTATATATATCTATATCTATAG